TGATGAAAACTTAATTTTTTCTTGTCGAAGATTCAGTTTCTTCTTGTCGAAATCCATCACTAATTCATCTCTAAAATTAATTTCAGGTGATTTTGGAGATAAGGAAGAGAGAGATTTTAGAGAGATGTTTCGTTCATTGAAGGAGAAGATGTGGAAGAGATAAAGTTAAAAGTTGAATTGGATTAAAATTGAATTGGATCGGGTTTGAGATAAAGTTAAAATGAAGAGGCAAATTCGTTAGAAAATGTCTCGTTTTCTCCCCAAAGTCACACTCCTTTGCAAAATGTCTTATATTGTAAAGGATTTCAAAGAAAATACCTTCTAGTATAATTAAGCCCTAAATCTGCTTTTGTCCCATTATCTATTCAAAGCCAATGTTCATGGATTTTGTTCTGCATATGGTACAAAATTACACATATATTATATTTTTTTTTTAATTGATTGAAAAGACATCAAAATTTATCTTTGAATGAAGAAAAAAATGGAGACGATACTATTGAATGGGATAACTGTTTTTTTGTTCCATTCACGGCTATAAGAACATATCCATTGATTGAAGAATTTTATAGAGTATCTAACACATAATATTAATATTTTAGAACTAACTCAATTGTATAAAAAATATAAAAAAATTCAACCAGTCATACAAAGATACATGCATAAGAGTATGTGATATTCTTGTCAAAGTTTTTTAAACCATCTCTCATTCTCTTACTTCCTTTATTGTTTTTTTTTTAATAAAAAAAACTATGAGAAAAACTTGCAATGCTCATGATGCTCTAATTTGAGATAGCAGAAGAAATAGAATTTGTTTTCCATTTCTTCCTTTTTATAAAGAATGTCATTTTAAAACAAAATTTAGTTTTGTCGTCTTCTTTCTCCACAAGCGCAAATATACAAATTCAATAAACGTGGTTTACCAACATATTTAATGTTCAAATTATTCACTAGTAAAGTAGTAATCACTTTGAAGCCTTACAAACTTTTTAACTAAATGGAATCATTCGACCCTTACACTTTTTAACCGACACCAACTAATCTCTGCTACAGTGCTACTCACAATAAAGTACACACGTCTCTCACTTCACTTATGGTGTGATTGGTATTATTTTTGGAAGAAAATAAATTAATAGAAGAATTCAACAGTACAAAATTAGCTGGAGGATATATTTTCTACTCCTTAAAATAATTGGAATTTTTTCTTTTGATTTTGCCGGTAAAAGTTACTTTTTCAGTAGAAATAAAAAGATTTATTTTTCTTTCTTTTTCTTTTTGATTGGTAAAATTAAAGAATAATTATTTTTTATTAATTACTAAAACAATTTTAGAAAGTAGGTTAATTACTATAACAATTTTTATTCAACCTTAAAACTCAATACAAGTTATAAAAGACAAATTAACCTTAGTAACAAGTTTTTATTACGAAAATGTCATTCATAATTTATAAAAAAAAAAATTCAAACATTTGTTTGAAACCGTGGCCGCGGAGGTTGCGGAAGCACCGGATCGTGCTCAGCGGAGGTGTGGAAGCTGCGAAAGCATCGAGATTTAGGTAAAAATCGGATTAAAAATCAAAAGTTGGAAAAAAAACTCAAAATNTTTTGATTNTTTGTTANAAAANNGATATATGATNTTANATCTANTAGTTTTAGGCAAAATCCAGTTGAAAACGAGTTAAAATACAGTAAAAACGAGCTAAAAAGTGGTTGGCCGCCATTGTTAGGGTTTGAGAGAAGCTTGGTGTTGTGAAGAAGATGAAGAGTAAATTACGATTTTATCCTTTATTGAATAAATCTACCACTATTATAAATAAGTTTGCGATTGCGCGAACCATCAATAAGTCTACCCATCACAAAATTAACTCTACCACCACTAGAAATAAGTCTACCGATAACAAAATTAACTCTACCACTACTACAAATAAGTCTACCACATTTTATAAATCTACCACCACTATAAATAAGTCTACCATTGCGCGAACCATCAATAAGTCTATCGGTAACAAAATTAACTCTACCACTACTACTAATAAGTCTATCAATCAAATATAAACCTACCACTACTATAAATAAATCTACGACTGTGTGAACCATCAATAAATCTACCGATCACAAAATTAACTCTATCACCAATAAAAGTAAGTCTACCGATCACAAAATTAACTCTACCATTGCGCGTACCATAAATAAGTCTACCAACCACTTAATAAATCTACCAATCGCAAATAAATCTACCATCACATGAACGGTAGACTTATTCGCTGCCTCATTTATGGTAGTTTCATAAATACGTTTTTTTCTCTTCAAAAGAAATAAGGTTAAAACGAATATTAATAGTTTTTCAAAATTATTTGAGTAATTTTCAAAAAATAGCATCATTGATCAAAAATCAACTTCTAAAGTTGTTTTAATAAAACTCCCATATTTTTCAACCACTTTCTTTTTTTCTATCAAATATTTAGATACAAGGATCGGTAGAATTATGTTTCCATCTTTGTTTTGGCTATGAACACCACCTCCGTATCACTTTTTTTTTGTGTGTGATAACCTCGAGGCATCACACTTGTTCCAATACACAAAATTGTATTTTAACGATGAACCAAATAACCTTTTCATTAAATATTTTCGATTAACTCTAGTAGCTAGCACACACTTCCCTTGTTCATATATGTGTCGTCTATATTAAAATATACTTAAAATATCTCCATTGGTAAGATATCACCACATATAATATTAATAATTTTTTTGTATAGTTTAATAAACT